TGAGCTGGGTAGCAGCTGCGAAGAATGGGGTGCCCTTGGCTCTGCCTTTTGCCCCTTATACCCTCATCCTGTATACCTCTCCCACCCTTGGATGGACCGCTCCAGTGGGACAGACCTGACTTTCTCAAAAACAACCAACCTATGGTCTGGAGACCATGTTCAGAGCCAAGGTCTGAGTCCAGCCTAGTGAAGATGCTGGACCTATAGGACCAGCCTCAGCCATGCTGTCCCCAAACTCACAGCAGTGGCAGCTTTAGTGATTGTACTGTATTCAGTATATACTTGGCCATGCTTCTTTCTAGCTTTAAACTTTCTTCATGACAAGTCCTGTGGGTCCCCACCTCCTCGGCCACATCTATGGCCCCTTTCATCCTGACTTGCAGGATGGAACCACGACATGACCCCACTCCATCTGAAAGTCAGCATCCTTCCTTGGGAGAGGGCTTTTATTCATTCAAAGGCACTCTCTCCCAAACCATCAGTGCTGTTAGGAAGGAAAACCCTGGGAATGAGGGGTGGTGGGTGGGCTCCAGGTTCCTGGTAACTGGCCTGGCTCACCTGCCCAATCGCACCTGCGCTGTTGTAGAAAGACCAGATCGCTGCCTCCCCAAGCGCTGTCCTGCTGGTTCCCAGCTTGACCATCTCTTAGAGGCGCAGCAGACCCCACGGGCATGGCTCTGTGCACTTGCTTCCCTGAGTTCAGGGTGTCCCCACCCGTTTCCACCCCCTCTATCTTTTACTTTGCTTCCTGGTGCATTATGGAACCCCAGCCTCTGCCATCTACATTTCTTTGCTTGGGGATTCCTTTCCAGAACAGCCAAAAGTGTGGGGGAATTAACCACCTCCCTCCCAGCAGCCCTTACTGATGACTGACAGGACAGGCTTGTAAACCACACACCGCCCCCATCCCTGGAATTTCTCTGAGGAGTGTGTTCTGTTTCCCAGGGCTGCCCCAGAAGGATCCGACTTCAGTTGCTCTCTGTGGCCACTGCATCTGTACCGACTGTCCTTTCTTCCCTGTTTCACACCCCTCTCTCCCTGCTGGTGTTTCCTGGGATCACCTTGAACTAAGATCTCTGCCTGGGTTGCTCAGGAACTAGATATCAAAACCTACCAGGCTCTGGCTGGGTGTAGCTAAGTCACCGGGACAGACCACATGCTGTAAGCGGTGCCTCGCCCTGCTCCTGCACCCCACCCACCCCCCCCTGCGCCTCCCCCCCCAGCACCGGCGAAGCTGAACGAAGCCATGTCCCTGAGGGTTCCTGGGTCCAGGGCCTCTCTTCTCCAAGGTGCAGGCCTGGGAAGGAGCCAGCACATTCCTCCCACTCCCGCCAACTGGATGGAAGTTCTGTGTTAGGTATCGAATTAAATTGTGTAATTCCTGCTTTTAGAATGGGAAAATCTGAACGTTGGTTTTGTGAATGTGTGCAGAAACCGTTGCCCCCTCTTGGCTCTGAGGCCCCCAACGGGAATGCAGGGCAGGATCCCACCCTGGTTCACCTGGGCTTGCAAAGTCATCAAGGCTTCCACGCCCCCGTCCCCCTTACCTCCCTGCCCCTTTGCCAAATCTAACTTTTGTGACTCTCGCTAAAATACATTAAAGAAACAGAATTCTTTTTTTTTTTTTTTTTTTGTTCTATTTTGGTGACAAGAGAGATCCTTGATGGAAACTGGATCTGTAAGAAAAATAAGGATAGAGCCATTAGATTACACAACACTCCGTGAGCCTAGAATTCTTGTGGCTTTCCAGTTTTACGACCTCATGGGTGATGGTTAAGCAGCTAAGATCTTCCTGTGGAAAAGTTAATTATTTAGAATTCAAATTTTTCCGCTCTCGTGTATACTTTCCCTTTCGTCCAAACATAGCTATAAGAGACTTTGTTTTTTTCCCTTGAGGCTGTAATGCGCTTATGCCAAGTGCCTGGGATTCTCTTGGCTCAGTCAGTGTTGGCACTTTCTCTGCCCTCGGGGTCCTCAGCAGCTGAGATGGAACCTCACTCCCTAAAAGCTAGGCTGTGGTGGTGAGTTTTACTCCATTCATTCACGCCCAAAAGGAGAGGGGAAGGAGCCCCTTACTTCTAGCTGATGTGATGTTGAGAGAGAAAGGCTCATTATGCTTTTGGAAAGAAAATTCTAGAAATATCTTTTCCTAGGGGATAGGCTTTGACACTGTCATCAGATGGTTCATCACTCTCTGGATTGAGAAGGACACCAAATTGCCCGTTTTCCTTCTGGAGGGTTCTAAGAGCTGAGCTTACGAAACTCAAGATGACTCAGTGTACCCCCACGATGCACCCGCTACCCCACGCACAACCTCAGCGTGGCTTTCAGTGACTAAAGCACATCTCCAGCCTCTAGGCCAACAGGTCTGTGCATGGAGGTTCATCCTGCACTGGCTACTAGGTCACCTTCTGGAACACACTTGCCTCTTGTAGTGGGTGCTGCTGGCTGCTTCCCCCCAATCCACTCTCACTTTTTTCCTGGCAGGGGGCCCCATCTGGTTTGGCTGTCCCCTTCCTTTACCCAGCCTTGTCATGGAGGGAAGTGACTTGAGCCTCAATCCCGAGAGTAGAGTGTGGGGGACAGACAGATCTATCTATATTGGTCTGATCCAGCCATGATAATTCAACGCTCTATGTTATTAAATTTGCTAAAGAATGAACATGAGACCTAATTCAGGGGCTTTCACCCCAATGAGAGGCCAAATATGCAGGGGAGGGGGCTCCTGGGAAGAGTTTCTTAACTCAAGAAGAGACACAAGGAAGAGGCGTCTCTGGCTTCCTTCTGGCTGTCAGGGTATAAGGATGTGATTCCAGAAGCTCCTCCAGCGGCGCCCGTGAGAGGGACTAGCCTGCCCTCTGCTGGGGGTGTAGCGCTGGAAGCTGGACAAGTCCCTCCCTAGGCCTCTGATGTCAGTGTCAAGTTGAACCAGCCCTGACGCTTCCCAACTGTTCTATTGTTATGGGCGATAACCTCCTAATTGCCACTTTGAATTAGGTTTTCTGAAATTTGCAGCAACTCACAATCCATTTCTCAAGTCGAGTCTTAAAATGCCTGGTGGCATTTGGAAACCTACCAATTCACAAGTTCTGGACCTTGCCTCCGGCCCCGGAGACAGTGGCTGTTGAAGGGGAATCTGATCCAGCCTGTCTGCCTCCAGAACCCACGCTCACACCAGTGGGCCCTGCTGTAAGGAGTCTCCAGGACACAATGTTCCAGCTCGGGTGCAGTGTCCATGTTGCAAGTCAGCACCATCCACCCAGCCCCTGTGATCGGGCCTGCACCTCTGCACATCCCCTCATGGAACCCCCACAGCCTTCACCCTTGGAGGTAGTTATTATTACCCCCCTGTAGAGATGACACTGGCTCTCCCAGAAGTTAAATTACACACCCCTAACACTCAGCTACGGGGCAGCAGAGTCTAGACTGGAACCTGGCCGCTAATTCCAAAGTCAACGTCTTCCCCATCACCACCAAGACGCTAACGGTAACAAGACCGGCCGGCTGGCCAGCTCCATCCCCTAAGCAACTTATCTCGTCCTCCCAACAATCTCAAGAGGAGGGTACTATGATTTTCCCTATGTACAGATGAGGAAACCGAGGCTCTCAACTGCCGTGGCATTTTGTGAAGCTTTGACTCTTCCACGAATGTCCCTTGATCAGGCAGCAGAGCCCTGAGCAGCTGCTGAGCTCTCCCTGGGCTGTAGTTTCTAGGCTGGGCTTTGAAGTTATTTTGAGCATCTGCTCCCACCAAGCACCCTACTCCTGTGGCCATTCCTTGGCCACTCCTGTGGCTGATGGAGGTCTGGGGATGGGTTGAAAGGGGCCATTAACCTCTCACCACCCCCCATCATCACTTATCAGGCATTCGCTGTGGGTGGACTTGACAATGGGACAATCGTGGGTGTTCTCGGTGCCCGCCCAGATCCCCCTTTCTGGGCTGGGGCTTCCACTGTCCAGCTCCAATTGTGAATGTTGATTACTAAAGACTTAGAGCTGCCCATTCCCCCAAGGACGTGTCCTCGGCCAAATGGGACCACAAGACATCCACTCCCTACTCCCACCCCTGCTGTCAATGCCTGAATGACGGAGTAGCAGGAAAAGCCAACCCTCTCGTCTCAAGGCGAGACCAGCTCTCTCGTATAATTCATGCTGCAGAGCTCCTGTGGGGTCAGGCTGAGGCTGGACTTGAGCTGAGACCCTGTCCTGGCTCTGCCCCCTCCCCGCCCTCTCTCACCTCCTTCTTTCCCTTTTTCTCAATAAATCCCAGTCTCAGCTCTGCTTCTGGGGAGCCCAGCCTGAGACGGAGGAGGATTGAAGAGGCCGTGTGAGGCCTGCCCTCTGCCTCAAGGATCCTGCAACTTGGTTGTGGAAACAGGCCACATTCGTACAAAAAAGTCACCCACAATACCGGACGGACTAGGCTGGAGAAAACAGGCATTAAGAGGATGGGAGAAATCACCAGAGGTGCAGTGGGGGAGAAAGGCTTCCTGGAAGAAACACGACTAGGCCACAAAGGGTAGGTAGGACTTGAAATGTTGGGAAAGGGGAAAAGCTTTGTGGGCAGGAGGAAAGTCTGTTGGAAAGGCCCTGTGATGGGTAGGAAGCTCTGCTCCCACCTCTCCCATCTCCTCCTGTCTGGTATTCATGGCTAGAGGAACTATCTCAGGTCAATGGGGGGTTTGGGGAACTCCGTTCTGACAATCCCGATGGGTCTAGCATGGTCCAAGGGCATCATCAAGGCTGCTCCAGAGAGCCGCACCAGCCTCCGAGGCCAGGAAGGACTCACTCAGTTCTCAAGCTTTTGCTGAGAGGCTTAGGGGGCTTGGGCCACTTGTAGAGACCTCCCCGCTTTGGAGAAGGGACAGACATCCCAGCGACCCTGTGCTGTAGGGCTGACGAGTCAGTGGACCTGAGGACGACTTCTGCGAAGGGCAGAGGGCATGGAGGGAGTCCACATACCTGCCGGACCGTGAGCCTGGGGGTTTGTTCACAAGGACTCAATGGTGTAATAAGCAGCTCCCAGGGCTCCCAGAGCCACTGCTACAGTCCCGAGAGCTCGGAGCACGCGCATTTCGATTACCGGTGTGTTTTCTCGCAGGTCTTCTGTAAATCAAAGCAGAAAGCCAGCAGGTTGGGGGAAGTTGGGCTTTAGTGCCTATCTACAGAAAAGCAGAAATGGTAGGGTCCCCTCAGGGATTTAGGGAAACCCATCTCCCCCATACTGACTCTCCTCTCGAAGGGACACAACTCCCCCACCTCTTTTATTAAAACCCCACCGCAAGACCCCCAGGATCTGAAGATGGGCTGGCCTGGAACGCCAGCACCCCCGGACACCCAGGGAGCAGGTCACAAAGGCAGCGAAGGCTGTTCCGTGCCAGGTGCCGTGCTAAACGCCTCACACCCAAAGTTTCCTCAAGCCTCACAACGACCCTGTGAGGGAGGTTCTCTCATGCGGCTCCGTTCGGGGGGTCAAGAATCTGAGGGAACACATATTACACCCACCACCAAGGCAAGGAAAATATATGGTTATGATAAAATGAAAATATATGATGTCGGATATGCGCTATCTATTTTGACGAAAATCCTATTGAAGTAGGGATTCTTATTTCATGTGAATGTGCATTACACATTCGCATGAGCCCACATTTCACTCTACTGAGAAAATGGAAAGATTATGGGAGCAGGTGCTCAAATCTGAACAGAATTAAGACTCTGTGTCTCCCCCAGGGCCAGGCTGGACCCCGCCCCTCCCCCTCCCCTTTCTCATTCTCAGCCTTGCTTTTTTGCCTCTTCCTCTGCCCGTAATGCTCTCCCTGTAAAATAAGCCACAGAGGCTCCTCAGGTCCTTCTGGACTCAGATAGGAGTGGCATGACAGTCTTCCTGGACCCCCGTTTAGGAGCGAGCACCTCCTTTCCTACGGCTCTTTGAACATGTCCTGTAGGACGTGGATCACCTCCGGCTTGCATCTGGGCTTCTAAATGCACATGTCTCAGCTTCCCACGCAGACTGTGCAGTTTTTAAGGGTCAAATTCCCTGTTCCGGTTTCCGCCATAGTGTCTCGTAGCCTATGCAGAGTAGGTTTTTCTACTGGTTTGAAAGTGACACGAATCTATGGCACAACTTGGCACGAGATGGACAGAAATGCTAAGTGTGTGGGAGGATAGTTGCTAATGGGGAGTGGCGGGCAGGCCCCTCCTGGATGGGTCTTACCAGGTCGTAGAGCGTTTTCTAGCTCTGGGCATGTTCTCTCAACACACCTGGGTATCTGTTTGTTTCTCTACACATGTCTGAGAGATAGCGCTTTTCAAGGATGGACAGGGAGGGGAACTGGTGGGGGAGGGGCTGGGACAAGGAGCAGGTTGAAGATGGAGGGTGGGGGGCTCTGCTCCTGGGTTGGGAGTTTGAGAGTCCCAAGTGGAAGGCCTCTTCCGTGGACATGTGTGACACCCTGAGTACAGGTGGGGCTGTTTTGGGCCCAGAGGTGGGGGTGGGCAGAGGTCCCTCTGCCAGCCGTTGCACCACTGGAAAAGTGGGGTAACAGCTTCAGTTCGGTGACAGAGGTCTTCCCATGTAAAAGTGGCAGCCCAGATTTCACCCAGTGGTTTCATGGAAGAGGAAGCAGATACTTTGGATGGGGGCAATGTTCCCTGTGGGGGCTGCTAGACTAGCCTGAGACCCTCAGAAGGGGCGGAGGTCGGGCTGTTGCCAACAGGGCCTGTGAGTTACAATCAGTATTTGTCACTACATTCCGGGGAAATTCATATGCAGATAGGAACTCAAGCTCCCAGCTATGGTATGGGCCAGCGGCCAACTAGCCAAACAGACTATTTAATCACAAAGCTTCTGAGTGATGTGGAATTTATGAACGGCCGTGAGGGCGTGTGCTCCGAGGAAGGGGGGTACCTAAGGGGAAAAGAAAAGTGGCCCCCCTGAAGAAGAAATTTCCGGTTAAGGAAGAAAATCAGCACCTCTTCGTGAAGACGGGTCCCCGGTAGGGCGTGTCAGGTCGGAAAGGGCTGGTGGCCAACCCCAAGACATGGCCGCCCAGAGGGAGGGCCTTTGCTTTTGGCCTCGGACTCCCAAGGGAGAGTCCGCACGACTGCTAATACGGTCTGGTCAGGACAAAGCCCGGCCATGGGAACCGAGCGCCCCGAGGGTCCAGCCCCACGAGCCAGAACCTGTAGAAGGTGAGGAGGTTTGGGAATCCTCTCCCGGGCATGGTCGGCCAGGCCCGAGGCAGAAGGACATCGAAGATGCGGCTGTGGCACAGGCCCAGACGACGCCAGCAAGCAGAGCTGCCGGGGCAAGTGGAGCAGGAGCAGAAGGGGTGCGGGCTTGCCCGAGTCAGAGGCCCTGGGAGGACAGAAAAGGAGAGAGATGAGGGACACGGCTGCCTCCAGGAGGCTGGGGTGGGGTGGGGAGGGCGGCGGGGGAGCCTGGAAGACACAGGAGAGAAACTAACTGTGCGAAACTGGTTGTTTTATAGACTGGTGCTACCTGGGAATCATCAACATAATAACGACGTAAGAGCTTATGCCTGCAGAGTGCGCCATACTTCACATCGTTATCCATCCCACGTCATAGAACAATCCCGTGAAGTGCTATGTGGCTATTCCCATATTTACAGATAAGAAAACTGAGGCTCAAAGAACGTAAGGATGTGCCCTCATAGCGAGTAGACGGAAGAAGCGGGCCTCGATCCGGGATTTCTAACGCTCAGTACGGTGCTCTCTGCAGACTTCATAGGACGTGGTGGCAGCAGTCGACGGCCCACCCCGAGAGAGGTGGCACTGGTTCCTGCACCTGGAGCTGCCACGCTTCCTTTTCGTGCAGTTCACTGGCTCATCCGGAAGACAGCGGCTGCTCCAGTTTATAGTCCTTGGAAGACTTCCCCAGACCTATCTCCATTTCCGTTCTCCTGAGTTGTGGATCCCAGCGGGACGTGGAGGCGGCACCCTCTGCTGTTGTACAAGAGGACTTCTGGAGGCAGAATTCCCTCTTCACGAGGCTGCTTCCATCCGGGCTTCTTCACGGAGCTACAGATTCGTCCAACCAAAGCTCCACGAAGCCAGCGGTCACCCTCGGCAGACTCGGGACATCACCTGCTGAGACCTGCCCGCGATGGGTGCTTTTCCTGAACTGGGGAAGGAAGAGATTCTAAAGGCAAGACTTATTTCTTTTCTTTTTCTAGTTAATTAAAAAAAAAAATGAACATATCATTTCCACATCATAAAATTCACCCCTTTATCATGTTCAGTAGTTTTTAGTATATTCACAAAGATGTGCGACCATCATCACTATCTGATTCCAGAATATTTCCATTTCCTCCAAAAGAGACTCGGTACTCATTAGCAGTCACTGCCTGTTCCCTGCTCCCTGCAGTTCCTGGCAATAGATTGGCCTATTCTGGACATTTCGCAAACAGAATCGTATCATACGTGGGCTTTTTTGGGACTGGCTTCTTTCGCTTAGCCCAATGTTTTTGAGCTTCGTCCATGTCATAGCAGGTATCAGCACATCATCTGTTTTCATCGCCAAATCATGTGTCGTTTGTCATCGCACGGATGTACGGCTGTTATTTATCCATTCGTCAGTCGATGGCCGTGGAGTTGTCTCCACTTTTTGGCTATAGTGAGTAACGCTGCTGTGAACGTTTGTGTACACGTTTTCGTGTGGACGTATGTTTTTGAATTCTCTTGGGTATATGCCCAGGAGTAGAGCTGCTGGGTCCTCTGGTCACTCTTGTGCATCCCTTTGAGGAACTGCCACACTTTTCTGCCGCAGCGACATTGTTTTGCATTCTCTCCGGCAGTGTGTGAAGGTTCCGACTTCTCCACAGCCTCACCAACACTTGTTACTGTCCGTCTTTTGATCGTAGTCATTCTAGTGGAGGACTCGTATTTTCTAGAGCGACAATATTTTCTGCACACTAACTATTTGGATTTTAGAAAGCGGGAGCCTTTATTTAAAGGCTCTCATCCCTTATCTCCAACATTCCCTCCCACTCTGGCTCAAAGAGAGAAAATTCCTTTGGAAGAAGAAGAGTAGGTGTCCATCATCACCACTGACGAGCCCCCGCCATTTCCTGCTCTGCCTCCTTACTAAGCAGAAGTCTTTCGGGGTGCGTCACGTGCATTCGCGAAATAGTTTTGCATCCCACAGATATCTGTTCTGAAGGCCATAGTCCAGGTATGTTTAGCTCAGTAGTTGATGATCATAATCCACACAATATACATATAACACCTGAAACCATTTCCATATGTTAAGAATAGATTGATTCCCAGTCACAGAAATGTCGTGTCATAGCAATCCCTTAGATATAGCGTTTCACTCACACCTCTCATTCAGGTTCACACCATCCCAGAGGGATACTCTGTGGCCTGGGGAGTGTGGCCTGCTCAGGGCCACACAGCCATGGGCACTGGCTCATGGCAGATCCAGGAGAAGCTCAGAGAAGGATGTTCTTCCTCCAGGGGAGACCGCCAGACCTCTTGGGATTGGAAGGTCAGGGCTGCAGTTACGAGCGAGGATTCTGGAGTGAGTTAGACTGAGGTTCCCCGCTCAGTGCTACCAGCGCCTGCTTGAGAGAGAACTGTTTGATCTCTTTGGGCTTCAGTTTCCCCATCTATAGAACGAAGATGATGATACTAATATGTTCTTTACGGCATTGTTAAGTGAGAAAATTAGCATAGATGGCTGACCCGAATGCTGGGTATGCAGTAAATGTTGGTGATGAGAGTTAGCTATCGCCATTATTAGTAGTGATAGTGTTAACCAGCTCACCTGAATCCCGCTTGAGTTCCCTCTACACAATCCAATGCTCATTCAGACTCTGGTTACCCAAGAAGATAGGGGACCACTTTTCCTGGACAGCCATTCCATCGTCAGACAGAACTAATCGTTGGAGGTTTTTTTTTTTTTAATGAAAAGATTAAAAATCTGCCTGTCTATAGGCTCTCCTCCCATGGGTAAGGTTGCCAGATTTAGCACACAAAAAAATACAGGGCGCCCATGAAATATTTGGGACACACTTACACTAAAAAACTTAAAAATGATTTGTTGTTTTTCTGAAATTCAAATTTAACTGGGTGTCCTTTATCTTATCTGGCAAGCCCGGGCCCTTAGACAACTGAGGACAACATGGAACGCGCCTACTCACATTTTCCACCTGACAGATTTCCTCCAATTCCTTTAACCGAATCCCATACACCAAACGGCTCTTGCCTCCCCCTCCTCCTCTCATGCCACGTCAACCCGGACTTTCTTCTTTGGACTAGACAGCAGGTCTCTTTGATGGCACACAGGCAAAGCCTGATGAGGCCAGAGTAAAGCAGTGTGACCACCTCCCTTGTCCTAAACCATATCATTCTATTAACGCATCCTCGGTTTTAATTTTTGTGCAGCCATGTGGCGCTTCTGATCCCTAATGAGCTAGTATGACCACTGAGCCACATTAAGTGTTAATGTATATGTGCGACTGCCCTTTTCAGTGAGACTCAGCATGGCGAGGCATTATAAAACCCAGGAATCCTGGTCTCTTGGATAAAGACAAAGCCCAAACCCTCACACTCCACAAGCACAGTTCCAGAACACACATCAACCATGCATCGCTACTCAGTAAGTACCGGCTTCCAGGGTAACCCTGGGACTCCAGCAGCAGAGAGTCTAGAACTGTCGAGCTTAAAGCCTGCCCACCTGTTTTCTTCGCTCCGGGGGACGATTTTGTGCCAGGCTTCTGACACAGCAGGCCCCGAGCTGACTGGCTGCTTTCTGGACCTGGGAGAGCCTGGGACTCAGGCTGCTGTGAGGTGGATCCGGAGCTGGGCTGCTGAGAGGTGGATGCAGAGGTGGTCTGCTGAGGGGCGGGTGCCGAGCTGGGCTGCTGAGGGGCGGGTGCAGGGCTGGGCTGCTGTGGGGTGGATCCGGAAGTGATCTGCTGAGGGGCAGGTGCAGAGCTGGGCTGCTGTGGGGTGGATACGGAAGTGATCTGCTGTGGGGCGGATGCAGAGGTGGATTCAGAGCTACCATGCTGCGAGTTGGAGCCACGGCGTCTGGCGTCTGGCTTCTTCCTTTTGCCCTTCTTCATGGTGGGCCCTCCCGACCTAAACGTGGAACTACATGGAGCTGCCTAACGTCCTGGCTCCCTCCTGGAGGGGCCGTCTGCCCCTATCCTGGGGAAGGCTCTGGTCTCCGGCTGCTCCCAGGCCCCACAAAGAAAAGTCATCCACACCCCTCCTGTGAGGTCACAAAAGCCAGGTGGCTCCTATGGCAGTGCTCTAGGGAGAGTCTTCTCTGCTGACACCAGCCTGCTGTCCTCTCTCCTCTCCAGCTACTGGGATGGGCAGAGGGTAGCTGCTGGACCCCTCATGGGCCTGGGTTAAGCCTGGCCCTGGGGCCTGTGACACCCTGGAACCCCACGATTTTGCGACTGGAATGTCTCCTTCAGGCACTTGGCTGGTGTGTTCCTGGGTTCCCGTGTGCTATCAGTTTGCTCTAAGACACCCTGGCTGTGATGCTCAGCTCTGTCACCGGTTTCCACATACCAAAAAATCCCCCCCCAACCCCCCCCAAAACTACTTCGCCGTGCATTCTGTGAGTCATAGGTAACTTTACTGAAGATCCGGGGATCCATAGAAAGCCCATGGCCCCCTGCCATCTCGGCTGCCTCCCCCAGATTATCTGACACAGAGCAGCTCCCCGTCTCCCAAAGCCTGCCCTCCCCGAATGTGGGAAGAGGCTGGGGGAGGGGTCTCCAACTTCGATAAGAACCCTTGCCTTTGGCAAAAGAATTTCCCTAAAAACATAACAGCTGTTTGGAAAACCACTCTTTCTCAAACTCATCTCGCTAGCCACGCTAGACGACTTCTCCAACCCCAACTCGTCAGGCCAGTTAGGGGACGATGAATCTTTCTCGAAATTAACCATGTAATTTTTCCTTTTAGGATGGGAGAGAAAAAAAGCTTTTTTAAAAGACAGCCTTAATCTTCAGGTGCTGACTACAACATAAAATGTGTCCACTTTAGAAGACTCTACTTAGTTTAATACAGTGCAAAGTGGGTGAGTATCTTACTGTTAATCCCTCTGTCTGGGGGGTGACACTCCTACCCCAGGATCAGATTTAGGGCACACTTGGCTAGGAAGAATGACTACACGAGGCCAGGCCCGATGTGAACTACGAAATGACAGGAAATACCTTAGGGATTCTAGAGCCCGAAAAGACCTTGCTGATTCTCTTTGCAGAGGAGAAACCGAGCTTCAAAGGTAAATCACCTTTCCAAAGCCACACAGCTGGCTGGCAGCATGAATGGGCTCGATGCCTGTTCAAGGCTCCCGCTTTTCATGACTCTGGAAAGCAGTAGAGAGTCAGATACTTATGCAGGCCCTAAAGTCAATGAATTAAAACCTCTCGAGTGAGAAGATGGAAGGGAAAAAAAGGCACGAAGGACTAGAAGTGGAAGGAAGCTCATATCTAGAAAGCTAGATCGATAAAGCTGGATCGAACTCAGTTGCGCCAAAGCATGAGGAGGTTCAGAGGGGCGGGTGAGGCTACTGGAAGGTGGTAACTCCCTGAAGTCAAGAGCGACGATTCCTGTGGGGCGCTTACTTTAGAATCAGACACTGGGACCCAGGCAGGAACCTGGTCAGGCTTAGTAGGCGGGTCAACATCTCCTAAGGCGCTTATCTCTGCAAAATTAGATTTGCAGGCACCAATGGGCTTTTGACGGAAGGCTTCAACCTGGTTTAAATCAGGCTTTCTCAACCTCAGCTCTAATGACATTTTAAGTCTGATAACTCTGTGCCGTCCTGTGGATCGTAGGAAGGTTAGCAGCATCCCTGGCCTCTGTCCACGAGGTGCCAGTAGCAACTACCACTTCTTTCAAATTGTGTCGACCTAAATATCCACAGACAGCCCACGGTCCCAGGCTTATTGACCACCTTAAAGTTATCCATGTCTAGCTCTAGCCAACCATGAGCAGCAGAGGTCTGGCGAACATGCCTCACTTTCCTGCATTTGTAGAAGCCCTTCCCCCTCCATCAAGCCCCTCTCCCGTCATCATGATCCATTTCACGTGGACCCATAGCCTCACAAAGCCTTTCTTTGAATCCCCGACTAGAAGACGTCTCTCCCTCTCTGGGCCCAGATCACATTCTGCATGGCGTCAGAGTGACTTCTCCCAGACATGGAGATGCGAAGGGCCGAAGTCCAGAGAAAGGGCTCGACGCAAGCTGCTTGAAGGTGAGCGTACAAGGACAGAGAAAGCAGGACGCTGTTGAAGGAAGGGTCGGCTTGGGCGATGCGACACAGAGACTGCATCGCTAAGGAGTTGCTTTCAAGGATGGACTGGAGTGTTCTGGCCTTGGCTGAGGATAACCGATGGAACGGTCCATAGCCAAAGGGCTTTCCTAACCAGGGATGGCAGCTATGGAAAAATGTCACGGACTCTTTAGGAGAGCGAGAGTAATGAGCCTAAGGTACTGACTGACCAGAAGGTCCCCGGTGGTCTGGCCCTCTGGATGTGTCCCGGACACCCTGAACAAGCATGTCAACATTTATCCATCTTAGAGCTGGATGGTACCTCAGACACCAACTGGCTGTTGGCCTTACCAGTCATGAGGGCAGCTAGTCCACAGAGGGGACAACTTGTTCTGGTCACCAGCGGGAGGGTGGCAGAGTCTGGAGTAACCGGGGCTTTGGACTCTCCCTAACCCCAGCACTTCCTTCATCCCCACCACTGCCCGGGAGTGGGGGGGCGGGGGGCGGGGTGCTTCTACAGACTGAAGGCACTTGGTGCTCATTTAAGAGCCCACTGGCTTAGACCCTTAGACCCAGGGACTAAGTCCCTGGGGCCACAGGCCGATTCCTGGGTAGGAACGGCCTCCGGGGCTGTGCTTGAGAATTCTGCAGCCAGCCAGCTACTCTGAAGCAGAACCTTCCCGAGAGGGCTGTTGTGAGGATTAGATGTGAAAAAAACGGTTAGAACAGTGCCTGGCTCACAATCGGCGTGCTTTTATTATTAATATGGTTCCCCTGGAGGGGGAGACTGAAGAACCAAGCTTGGACGCGGAGAGGAGAGGGTGGGCCCTGGGCCTGCGAAGTCCCAAATTTGTACCTTACAAAAGCCTGATTCTGAGGAGTGAGCAAGGGGACAAGGGGTTGAGTGGGTGGGTGGGAAGGGTAACTTTAAAAATTAAGTTAATTCGAACACTTTTGACCTGAGATTGACCCAGTGAGCAGACCTGGGGCGAGAAATCTAGTTCATCTTCACCCCAAACGATGTAAGTGGAGGCTCTAGGCGAGGGACCGTGACATCAGGGACTTGTCTACTACTGGGACCAGCAGAGTCAGCGCACAGGCCTCCCTCTGTATTTAAAGTTTCCCACGGGGTGGGGGGGGGATGCCCGCGGCCGCTGGCGCTCCCACCCCTCGCCTTCGGGCTCCTCACCATCCGTCTGAGTCCCTCGATCCACTACGGGGACACAGCCCCGTGCCGCGACCTTGTGCGCTTGGCCGGCGGTGCGCTGGAAGTCCAGGATGCCCTCCGGGCGACAGGGGCTGAACACGGCGGTGTGCACCTCCACTGCGGCGCGGGGCGCCGCGAAGACGCTGCAGAGCAGGGTCTCCATGCGGCGGCGCGCCTCGGCCTCCTCGTCGCGCAGCGGCTGCACGACGATCCCGACGAGCGCCGCGGGCGGGCGGCGGTGCCGCGC